AGTGGTAGTGGTATTGGTAGTGGCAGTAGTGGTGGTTCGTTCTTTATGTCTTTATTTCTTTTGTTCGTTCGCTCTTTATTTATTTAGTTATTTATTATTTCGTTCTTTCTTTCTTTCTTTGGTTCCTTCTTTCTCTCTCTCTCTCTCTCTGTCTCTCTCTTTCTTTCTCTTTCTGTCTTTCTATCTTTCTGTCTGTCTGTCTTTCTTTTGTTCTTTCTTTCGAAGAGACAAGTATTGTTTCTTGATGTCTGATTGTGTTTGTCTTGATCCCTATTTGTTTTTTAGTTGATCCCTATGTGTGTTATTTTTGATCCCTCTCCCCCTTAAATCCCCTTAAGACATGCTGCTAGGTAGCATACATCTTGCAGATCTTGAGGTTACCCTCCTTCTCTTCAAAAGATTAACTTTTGTGTTTTGGTGCGTTGCGGGTCTCCAATTTTGGGTTCCTTCGCTCGCGCATGCTCGATGACTGCGACCGGGGGTTGTCACAACACACCTCACGAAAAGGACATACGCGGCAAAACTCAGGCGTTTGGAGATACGTCCATGGTGCACAAAAGGCTTCAGGTGGATGACAAACACATACTCCCCAAAAAAGAACAATGAAAGCGGAACTTGCGTTGGAACAGTTCCCCTTCTCAAACAATCCTCAGGAGCTTCTGACAGAGACAATCCGAATCCATGTTTCACACGTCGTCCAGCTCATTCCCTTCGCATCGGTCACAGGTCCAAGTGCCCGAGCTTCGGATATTCACCGGATCCGGGCTGGGAGCTGCCTCAGCGATCCGCTGCGTGTTTGACTCGGTGCAATGATTGGGTCAAGTCGCTTCTTCACTCTCTTCGATTTGTTCCAAAGACTGCATGTGAACACACACGTGATTGTTGCATGCCCCGTGTTCGGGTGTGCAATACCTTCCACTGTGAAGGATGATACTACTACTACTACTGCTGCTACTACTACTACTACTCCTCCTACTGCTACTACTACTACTACAGTACTCCTACTGCTACTACTACTACTACTCCTACTGCTACTACTACTACTACGACTACTACTACTACTCCTACTGCTACTACTACTACTACTCCTACTGCTACTACTACTACTACTACTCCTACTGCTACTGCTACTACTACTACTACTACTGTTCATATTCTGGGTCCAAGCGAAACGCTTGAGGCATCTTGAGGCAATTTACTCCATTGACCAGTTTCAGACGTGTACCGAGAGGTGTTTACTTTCTATGGCCTTTGGCGTTGACTGTGCCTACGATACAGTCTTCAAATAGGTCTCTACATGTCTCTAAACGACTCGGAAAGAACTCTATTTGCCCACCACAAGCGCCCCACGGCTCACACTTCCAGTCGGTGGGAATGCCCGGTTTGTTCGTTGCTCGAACCTTCGCGGTGTCATTAGCGGGTCTTCGCAGGTGTTCGATCCACCTCTGACACTGATCTATGAACACTCTCCCTCAGTTTCCCCTTTAAAATAGGAGTTGACCCTTTATATCTTGTTTCCTTCTTCCACCAGTAAAACGATCCGCGGATTGGCAAGGAGCATGGCGGCCTCTGGAGTAGACTATGTCCAGCTCCAAACGCTTCTTTCGGGTTTCCTGGGGCCACGCTCCGTCTTTAAAATGGGCCACGACAGTCATGACCATGGTCTGTTTACGCACTCCGACTCACTACCGGGGTTTTAACATGACCCTTGGAACAAACCAGTTGATAGTTTCCTTCACAAGTAGGAGGGTTTCTACTTGTATGTCAGTCAGTTGGTTTGCATTTGTATCATCTTGTATAGACACACACCTCAGGCCTCACATGGAAGTGAACCACTTCGTTTCACCCATATAACTGTACTGTTTGTGTTCGTAGGTCTCCAGGTCCAGGGGAGTTGTTTTCATCTTCTCACAGTCCTGTTCGTCATCCTGCAGGAGATCGGATTGAACAATACACTGTTCACCTCTGCGTTGAGTCTTCTATAAGAGTTGTGTGTTGAACGAGTTTCCCCTTGAACATGTCACGCATAGGTGTGAAACCACCGAAATATGTTTCAAGTTTGTCTAGTAAATTCTCTCTCTATGTGTATATATATATATATAGTAAGTATTCGTGTGGACTTCTTGGCAAAAACATGCCAAAACTCTACTTCTCGCTCGTAAGTTTTTTTGGTACGCTGCCCGCACCTCACAGGAGATACACTCCCCGGTGAGCAACCACACCATAAAGGAAATGACTCACCCAAATTGGGTGAGAAGAAATGAGATGGAACGGGAGAAGGACATAATGAGGTATGTCAAAAAGAACGCTTTGGACAAACCAATGCTTCCAAATACCTGTGTTCTGCGCTGGGTGCGCAAACAAACAAACAAACAAGGAAAATAGACCCTGACTGATTGAAGGTGGTCTGCTGGCACATGCTCATCTACAAAAACAGGAGGAATCTTCTGTGGCCCCAGTTGCTGCTATTTGGTTCATGCAAAGGGCCCAAGCTTCCCAGCTACTGACCAAGCAAAGGCCTGTGTCTTGAGTCTTGAGACCTCCAAGTGTGGATGATTACAATAATTCCTGGCAACTGTGACAGCAGTGAAATCGGCAGGTTCAAAGTTGGAAGCCCTCTCGTTGGAGCACCACCCTTCCTGGATGCTTGAAACTTCAGAAACCGCCTTAGACTGTGATTCAACGTTGGCCGTTGAATTTTAGGCCGTCATCTACACTCCGACTCACTTGGATGAAAGTGGACACTTGCCCAAGTTTCCTCTACACTCTGTAAAAACGAACGTCTTCCACTTGCTTGTTCGGAGATTCACGTCCGCAAACCGCACCATTTAAGGTTTCATCAACAGTCAACGGTACACATTAGAGAGTTACCGTACTTCCCGCAGCGTTGCCGAGGCTCAGCGTAGATCCGTCGGCTTTCCACCACACTGGGCATGACCAGCCATTGTGTTCGGCTGCTCTGTTTGGGCGTGTGTCAAAGAAAGAGTGGGTCTTCCAATGAAGATAATGAAGTCCTTATAAGAACTCATTCCTCTTCAAGTGGGTCAAAACAACCAATCAAGTCTTCTGACCAGCTGGATCATCTGATCACCAAAGCAGGAGGATCCCTTGCCTCTTTATTAGTAGCAAACAACAAAGTATGGATTTGCCTCATCCGTTCAGAGAGGGAGTTTCTGCGTGGCAGTCAGGATCCTGAGACTCCACCTGGGGAGCCTTGAGCACTCTGGTCAGCTGGGATGCTGTTCCAATCAAGAATATGTTCGGCGGTGTGCTATGGTGTTGCGCTAAGCATCAACAGGTCAACCACCGCTCAAATGTGTTCAAATTACTATGTCTGCTGCAAGCTGCACATGTCCTTATCTGCTTGCAGCTTCGGCGTCTACGAACTGCACGGAGGATCCAAGGGTCCAACACGGTCCAACCATTGACCAGTCTTGTCCCTCTCATGACACGGAACTGCAAAGCCACTACTGAAAGCCACCCAGTTGCAGCAATCTCATCCAAAGCCTTGCACTTGCGCCATCCCGAAGCACACTTCTCACACGTTACAAAGAAGTTACCGTAATTAGAGGAATTCGATGCATCTGACACTACGTCCATGCGCGGTCCATGCTCATGTGTGTGTCTGGAAGCTTGAGATCTCAACAATCTCAACCCCCCCCACAACGATCCCACATCGCAGGTCGCATGGCAGATCCGTCCTTGGTTCCTATGCCTTGGGCCAGCGAGTCAAACCTCGGCGCAAATCCAAACGGAAACAACAAAGTCCTCACCGAGAAGAGAGAGCTGGCCTATATGGAGACGGCCTACGGAGCCTCTTGGAGCCACCAAACTCTACTTTCGTGGCCCCGGCGCCATCGTTTTGCATCGATTTGTAGAAAGAATGATCTTTCAAAAGGAGCTGATGTGCTCCATGATGCTCCATGTAACCTCGGTTTCTTCCTCTGTGTCCAACCCCACAAAGGGCCAAATCAAGTGGTTCAAGCTCCCTGGCTCCCGAAGCACCCGTCGTTGTCCAAATCACGGCGTCATTACAGGCGCTTTGCCACAACATCCCCGAGTTCACCTCACGTGCATCACTTCCGGTCTTTGCAAAGTACTTCTATCCTACTATATCCATCTATATCCTACTACGATCTTCCGTACCACCGAAGGACAGGCTCTCGCGCTGATCGTCTCCGACCGGCAGATTCCAGGGCTCCTCCCGAAGGCGGAGGTGTTGGATGGGATGAACCGGTCGACGGCGGCAAAATCCAGTGTGGCCAAACGTGAGCGTCAACCTCCCGAGGCGAGTTTCGCCCCGTGATGCCTCTCAGTCAGGGTGTGACCGTGCCTTGCCTCAAAGCTGGTGTTCTTTCGGCGAATCGGGTTGTGACTTCGCTTGACATCGGGACAGTTTGACAAGCACCATGCCCCCGAGAGTTACAAAGGATGTTCTTTGATGCAAGGCACACTTTGTCTGACATGCGTTAGCCTTAGCGCATCCAACAAGAATATATACAATAGATGACACATAGAGAAACACCTATGTAGAGACATGGAGAAACCACATATCAGCGGGACTCAATAAATATCTCGAAAAAAAGACATGAAGAAGCACACACACAATAAACCACGAAACATCACGAAACAGAATCCTGTTAAAATCGTTTGGTGAAGACCCCTGTCAAAGCTCATTCATCACTTCGATCCTATCAGCGATCCCGGTCTCGCGCCCCCACCTCTGCTGGGAGTCGCGGCCGGAAGGGCCTTGGGATGCACACGGCCCGGTGGCTCTGAGGGCTGAAACTGCTGTCGTCGCTGCGTCTTGCGGCTCATTAGGCTCATTGTTCCTAGTAGCTTCTTGTTAGTAGTATGGCCAGTAGTGATGCCCTTTGCTCCTAGTAGCTTCTTGTAGGCAAACATAGACAAACCCAACTTGGATCATCTTGGGTCCGAGTCCGAAGCTGTTCATGGCCGGTCAATCTCACTAAGTTCCTCGCAATCCGCACGTTGTTTTTCTGCTCCCAGCCGCGCCAAGAACTATATAAGTCTTGGCCGCTCTGAATTCCAATATGTGGAACAAATTCCTGGTGGCAAACTCACGGCTGCTCCTTGTCCAAGTCTTTCAACAGGCTATGCCTGATGCTGAAGCCAGGAAGCCATACTGCTGTCTTCGAAAACATAATACTAGAGAAATACTTAAAGAAATGTATAAATGCTTCAACTCGACTAACAGGACAAGCACTAGGACAAGCAACTACAGTACACGCCAATCAAGTGGTTCAAGCGTTCAACTACAGCTGCGGAAAAAAAAAAACATATATATATATATATTTATGACATTATACATTCTATATCTACGGTAATTGTATATTGTGCCCTCCTAATCCACAGGCCGATTGGCTTGTAGCCAAGAAAATGCATTTTTGTTGCAGTCAGGTAGCAGTTTGATGCACGGACTCTCCTGTGTCCCACCATTTTGTCGTACAAGAGTGTCCTATAATTTGTTCAATAAAGTCCAAATCATGGCCAAGTTGTGAAGAAAAAAGGGACCTCATTGCTAGCTGATAAACGTCTTCGAATCCTGTACCACATGCATCTGCCCTACGCCGATACTTGGGCCCCGCCCCCCAAAGCCGCACAGGGTGCCTCAGCCGGCCTAGCAGCCCCAGCTGCGCCGCGGACGCCGCCGCTGCGCGGCTCACGCGCGCCGCGGCGGCGTTCAGCGCGGCGGTGGGACCGGCACCGGTCAAGGCGATGCAGTGCGGCCAGGGAGCCCTACGAGGCTGGATGGGGCTGGAAACGGAGAGATTCCGGAGTTTCACCTTCGCCTGCTATAATTAGTGACTTCAAAACGGAACATCGTCCGCAGCTCGATTGATCTAGTCTTGCTGCCCCATGTCAAGGATCTCGCCACCCCCAGCTACCATAGCTACTAGGTTGGAGGCCATTGCTACCAGGCCGCTACCGGTTGGTGCGTCGTCACCCCACCAGCCGGTGCGGTCTCGACCGACCGTCTGGAGCCTTGAAGAACATGCCTCAAGCACGGTGACCTCGGTCACGCGCGATGCTTCCAATGAGCGCTGTTGGAGCTGCAGGAAGAAGCCGAGAGCAGCAAGCCACTGGGCGCACCTGGGCGCCAGACGCGATGTGTCCAAAGCAAGAGACTGGTCAACAAATATGATAACGATTGGACGCCGGAGTCCAAACGAACAGTTCTAGACCTTGGTTGACCGATGTTGACTGCCTCGCTTTGTGGTAAAGTGAAAACATCCGTAAACATCCCTCCCGGTGTCCTACACATGCCTGGCACACCAGCGGCAAGGACAATCCTGACTCAAACCACAAGCCTGGTAAGTTTGGTCGAAGTCACAGGTGCCACAAAAGAGGCCCTCCATGAAGGGTTTGATACCCAAGCATGAGGTGATCTACATGCCGGTGGCCACCCTACTCATTTTCCTTTTTGAGGTCGTGGACATACATATGGACAATGAATTTGGAGCACTGGATGATTGATTTTCCTCAATGAACCTGCGGTTGAAAAGGAATCGATGTTAGTTAGTCCGTGGGGCGTGGCTTGCCACTAGGCAAATTTGCAACAATTTGCCATTGCGTGCTACCTCCGGTCCACATCAGCCGCAGAAAAAGAAACACACTCTGAGCATTTTGCCTGGAGTACCCCAACTTGTGTGAATTTGATGATGCACTCAACCAAAGCTCTATACAAAACGCGTTATTGGTTTTTGTGAGTTTGGCCTATGGCGCCTATGGCCTTTCGCTGCTAGACTTGAGCTAGCGGGGCTAGTATCGCGCAAAAAAAGGTCTCTTGATCGATCCTGAACACACTGAAGTCATAGACTTGGAGCTTGAACCGTTCGTTCCCGTTCAGTTGCCAATTGTTAACTCGGGAGCCCGCCTGCTACAGGCGCAAAGGCATGCATTCCAGGTCAAAATCTCGGCTTGGGTGGCGAAGGATTCCAGGAGCCTAAGGCTTGTGAGCACATCATCGACACCTTCAGTATACGAAGGGTGGAGCTGTCGAGGTTCCAAACTCTGGTGACTCTGGTGATAGTGATGGTCAAAAGCCTCAAGGGGATGAGGCTTATGATGCTTTGGATTGCTTTGGGCAGCAGGTAGAGGAGCTTCACTCCACATATTGTATTGAACTTGGATGATTTGGGCAGCCTCGTTGCTATCGACCAGTCCCCTAGCCATGGCAGCCATATCCTGAGAAGTTAGGAATGCTCCTTATTCTAGTTGAACTTCCACTGGGCCAATCTTGGACACACACGTCTCTCTTATTGACAAGTTGTTTGCTTTGCCAACTGTTGATTCAAACATTCTCTGGTGGCCGGGCGGAACATGCACCTTGTCTGGGCGCTCTGTTGGAGCACTGGTCTAGGCAAACTTTGAACCAATCGGTCCAGTGGAGCTCCAAACGCATCCAGCTGCGACCAGCTTTAGGACACTGGCACCACGTTTTTCCATCAAGAATTCCCACGCGAAAACATATTGGATGATATTGGGCTAGTCAGGCTACTTCGTAACTCACATTTGCCCGGAAGGTTCTGAACCTGGCCGTGCCCTATGATACTTCCAGCAAACTACGGCATTCTATCCCTCCCCATCCAGTCATTCTATCCACGAACTACTCACCTTTTTTGCACCAGGTCACCCAGTTGCCACCCTCCAGCGGTCCAGATCATCGCCAGCACTGATGGCACTCAAAGCGCTGTTCAAGGTGACCTCGACGTCCCAAGGATATGCTGGTAGATCAAACTGAATACATGGATCCGAGCCCATGGTTCGTAACGTCTGTCATGGTTTTTAGGATGTTGGTGATTGATCCATTGCTGTTGCCACCAACCCATGTTCATGATAGTTTGATTGTGTGCGGCGCTGCTCTCGACCCATTGCAACCCATGTACAGCATCCGGCACGGCCCAATGAAGAAGTCGAACATCGCATTCACAGCTCCCCAAGCTTTTCCCACTCACCTTTGGGCTTTAACTGTGGATTTTGGCGATTGGCCGACCAATCATTGGGCTTGGACCCCATTCACCTCCAGCTTGGACCCGACTGCTCTCCGACCTCTGACACCCGAGCCGCGTTCTGAACACGATCAACACCATGCTACGAGACGCGCGTACCCTCCTTCCAACCGGCTGAGAAGGATCCCTTTTCTCGAAACAGATATGCTCCACTTCTAGAATCATCTGAGGGAGGGCAAGCCACAAGGTGCTCTCATTCAAGCCACCCACCCAGATGTTCGACCAGCTGGCGGTCTCAAGGGCTTCTCCCTGACTCTTTGCCCGGTCAATGTGCCTTGGACCAGTGGGCGTTGTTCAGCTCAGCTCTGTCCACGACAGCATGTCATGTACCAACTCTGAACAGTGTCCAATGTAGGAAGAAACACCCGGCAATTCTAGCACATCTGTCCAACAATGCTGATCATGAGTCATGCCCAAACAAAAACTATTCTGAGAGCCCGAGACTGTCAAACCAAAGAGAAACACCCCCGTTTGGGCACCCTAATCACCTTGAAATATCACAAGAAAACAAAACAAAAGAAACAAACACATGTTGTTCAGCCTTAAACCCGGCACGGCTGACGATCGTCAGCTTTCTCAAGGCACTTCATGGCCCTACTCCAGCAAGCTGAGCGTTCCAGGCTGCTCATGAGTGTGCCCTGCCTCGGCTCCGCAAACTGTGCCGACGTTTCGGGTGTGAGCGCGATCAATGGGAGAAGGATGAATTTGTTGGGACTGGGTGAAATGAAATGACATTCATCAATGCTTTTGGGGGCTACAATGTGTGTTTTCATGTTCAAACTCTCATGTTGTCAAAGTCATATTGAGAGATTGATGATCAACCTACTATAGGGAAGTAGCGCCAGCTTGGTACAAAAGCAACGCCAGCTTGCTACATGATTGTTCTCTCTGTTTTTTTTTTCTCTCTCTCTCTCTCTCTCCCCCTCCCTCTGTCTGGGTGATTTGTGGTATGTCAGCAGCCTAACATGCATTCCTTTGCAGTGAGGAACACTGTAACACTGCATAGGATGCAGCATGGAGGTACGACCGTTTGGGCGTCAGCCCCCAGCCAGGCTGCGTGAAGCTATCCTTTATCTTGGCCCGCCTGGACGTGACTGTCTGCTACAGCTAGCAAGGCCTTCTGAAAGCGATCAGAATCCAAATCCATATAGATATATATTATATATTGTGTTCACCAGAGGTGGCTTTATTCTAGAAATCAACAAACTTGAAAAAAAACAAACAAACAAGAAACACCAGCAAAACAAAGAGCAACCAAGAAAGCAAGAAAAAAACAGTGCAACCAAACATGCACAAGCAAAACAAAGAGCAACCAAGAAAGCAACAAAAAAACAAAAAAATGCAACCAAAAAAACACAAACAAAACACAGAGGGTAGTTTGGAGGGGCCGGGTAGGGTTAGTACCGGACAAGGGTCTTTTCTGGTGCCGGGTCAAGTGTCGCACTTTTGGTCGCTTTCTTTCTGGTGCTGGGTCAAATGTCGCACTTGTGGTCGCTATTTTTCCGGCGCCGGGTCAGAAGTCGCACTTTTGGTCGCTTTGTTTCCCTTTTTTCCGGGGCCGGGTAAAAAGTCGCACTTTTGGGTCGCAATTTGTTCGCTCTTTTGTTCGCTCTATTTTTGCTTTTTGCGAAAAAGAAAGAAAGCGAAAAAAGAGCGAACAAAAGGCGAAACAAGGCGACGTTTTACCCGACCAAAAGTGCACCAGAAAGTGGACCCTCCCCCAAAAGTGCGCCAGAAAGTGCGCCAGAACGTGGACCCTTCCAAAAAGTGCGCCAGAAAGCCCGGCTGAGTTGTTCCATTTTTGCTTGCAATTGTGTTTGCTTTTGTTTGTGTGTTTTATGATTGCTTTTCCTTTTTCTGGCTGCATTTTGTGATTGTTTGTTTGCTCTTTTTGGCTCTTTTTTCAAGATGATAAATTTCTAGAATAAAGGGGTCTGGCAAACACAATATTATATATATGTATATATATATAATATATAATAGAGATGTGTGTAATGATGGTTTTGTTGGAATGTAACACGAGGCAGCAGTATTTCCTCAACGTTTTCCAACAAAGTGAACTGCGACAATAACTTAGTGGTTGGCAAATCTTCCTGAAGAGATCCCCTTTTCAATTCTTTCCTGTCGCTTGGATTCCCTGCATTTGGACTCTGGGTTCTAGCGATTTCACCAACGCTGACTGGTCATGGACTCTGGGTTCTAGCGATTTCACCAACGCTGACTGGTCAAGTGTCAGGTGCGAGGGTGCGAGGGCAAACTGGTAAAACTAGAACTTTCCACCACAAAGTGTCACAAGAGTTGCTAGCAAGCCTGTCTGACCGTGCATTGTCATATTGTCTTGTCTTGTTTTGTCGATGCTTGCTCTTTTCTGTTTATTTTCTTTTGTTGTCAGGTTTGTCTTTCTGTCTCATTCCCTGCCCTTCCCGTCCCTTCCCTTCCCTTCCTTCCCCTTCTAGTTTTGCTTGTCTCGATCCCTATAATAATTGTTTTGTGTTTTGTTTTTGATCCCTGTTTGTTTGTTTGATCCATACTTGTGCTTTTCGAGGGGCCCCTCTCCCGGAAAATATCATTCTATATACAACAAGTACAACAAGTCCCCCAAAAAATTGAGCTGGAGAGGTCCTTCTCTTTGTGTGATTGCTAGTTGCTCGTCTCAATCTGCCTGATGATCTGCAAGGCCCACTGCCAGCGACCCAGCAGGGAAGCCACAGACATGTTTACTGTACTGGCGCTGGCTGCGCGCAAGGCACACAACCTCCAGGTGCACTGGACGGTGGAGGCTGCCATTGCAGCTTGGGTGGAGGACCGTGTTGATAAGAGGCTGGTGGAACAGTATCTATAACTTTAGCCAGCAACAACAAATTACTGCAGCTGTGTTGCAATCGTTTGAAATGGCCAGGTGCAACAAAGGACCCAAAGGTCGGAGAAACAAATTGCTGTTCCCAAGCAGTGGTGTGTGAGACTCTGACGTGCTCTGTTCTTTGGGGGTGCGCTACTCACCATCCCTTCCATCAATGCATCCGATTTTTATGAAAGATGATTCAACTCGACATTCCTTACTACTTCTATATATATACACATCGCTCGGCCTTGTTAGGCCAAATAAGCGCCCATGGCCCCTGAACTGAGAAACTGCTTCGATATGCTTCGATCGCGTCCAGCCAAGGTTAGAACCCAACCATTTCCGAGCCAAGGCACGAGACCATGAAGGACAGCGAAAGTGTCCACTGAAAGCACCTGAGGTAGTGAGTGTCTCTCTCTCTCTCTCTCTGTCTCAGGTCTCAATGCCCTGATCGTCACGCTGAACGGCAAAAAAGAAAAACTCCCTGCGACCTTTGGACAACGGACTGCAGCTGACTATCCACTAGACGTCTCGTCCCGACTATGATCCCACCTATAGAACCCGACGCGTGGGTGATGAGCATCGAGAAATGGTAAGTCTGAAGAGCCCAACATGGCCTGTTGGAAGAGAAACATAAGGGGAACTCGCAGAGTGGCAGTGACGACTCTTTCTTT